TATATATATATATATATATACTTTTTTTTTCGTTGGTTCTATTTGTGAACCATGACCAAAAGAGTCTTGCAGGTGATTGAACGTATGGCTTCAATCTGCAAGGACCGGCATGCGTACCTCCGTGCGGCCTGCGTCTGCGCACGTGCGAAATCTGAGGGACTGAGTAATACCGAGACTTTGACAAATCTTCTTTTCTATCCGCTGCAGATTGCGAGCAACATTGCAAATGAGCAGCATACATTTCTTCCCTTATCGTTGGAGGGTATCGCGAGCCTTCTGCGACTCTCCCTTCTCACCGAGGAGATGATGTACAGCCCACCGAATGTACCTCTCCCTGTGCAAAAGAAAAGTCTCTTCAGCAGCACAGACATCACTGCTCCTGCACAAGGGACTTCGTCCAACAACTCTTCCGAGGGACCAACAAGACTCGTGGATGTTATTCTCAACACGGTTAAGCGACATAGGCGTTCTTCCCTAGATGAAGTGGCTCTTCTAGTGTTGCAGTGTTTAGCTGAAATTATACACAACTGCGCTTGGGTGAGCGGAACGAGACTGCTGGGCTGCTTCCAGTTTGCATTTGAGGCTCAACTCGAGGTGAGACTACTCAGCGAATCAGGCGTGTCGAACTCAATTCTCCCGCACATGCTCACCGCAATACTGGCAAGACGTACAACTCCTGTGCCAAGTAGTCAGCAAGTATCACAACAGGAGGCTGACTCCACTTCCGACTGTGTAACAAGGAGCAACAATGCTTCTATTGCAGAAGCAACTGCTTCTTCCACATCTTACATAAATCGTGTAGCTTCAACTGTCCCACCAACGGGTGGTGGGGAACCGAAAAAAACATTATCGTTGTCGCAGTATGAACAGGATTGCTACAATATCTTGTTGCGTATCTGCGACCTTTCGATGAAGCCTATCGACGTCAGTGCCCCCGTGGGTTCACTAGAGTGGCGCAGCAAAGTATTGAGCTGCGCTCTTCTTGCCCAATTTATCAAAGAGATAAATGCTGAATTTGTGCAAAGCGATCTCTTTATGATTGCTTTGCATGAAAATGTCACTGTGAGTTTACTCCGTAACTGTACTTTGGAGGATGCCGTGCTGTACGGCGTGCCCCTCAAGACTTTGTATCATCTTGTGGTGCACTACCGTGAATTCCTCAAGTCTAAAGTGGTGGTTATTTTTCTTGGCGTGCTCATCCCTTTGGTTGGATCAAAGAGCACTTCATACAATCAGAAGTATGCGATACTGTCTTTTTTTGAACTTACCCTGCGCAAGCATCATGTGGTGAGGGATTGGTTTACGAACCTTGACTGTGTTCAAGGTATGCCAAGTTTTTGTGAGGTTCTTGTGCTGCGGCTGTCAAAACTGGTGAAGATGTCGCATATTTCACGATGGGTCACGACAAAAGAGGACGGAACTCTCCGTCTGAAATGCATCAAGGCGTTGTGTGCATACATCCAGTCAGTGGAACTCATCGCGAGAGGGTTCCACGCATGCGGTGGCATCGACGCTACGCATGTCCTAGACCGTCAAGCAGCAAAGAATAGAGGTGAAGGAGAAGCTACGTGTGCCACGAGTGAAGTTAAGACCGCAGGTGGCGGCGGCGACAGCGACAACGATGCCAAGGATGGTGATGATGATTATGATGATGCGGAGAACGAGGCAGCGGCTTCAGTGTATGAGGAGCAAAGTCGCTCTACTGTGGATAGTGTTCGGCTTGCTGACTCCGGTGTCGAGCAGCTACTGCGTGACAAGAAAGCATACGACTCCGTTGTAGAGGTGTTCAACGCGGGGGACTACGCGACTGCCCTCAAGATGGCCCTGAACGTCGGAATTCTGAGCAGCAGAGAGCCAGAGACAGTAGCGCGCTTCCTGCTCCAGAGGAAACTGGACCCTGTGCGCGTTGGGGAGTACCTTTGCAAGAATGATGATGAGCGTAAGACCATTTTACGTGCCTTCATTAGTTTGAATGATTTTGCTGACCTGGCAATTGATGAGGCGATGCGGGTGTTTCTGGGAAAGTTTAAACTTCCAGGGGAGGCGCAGGTCGTTGATCGCACGATGGAAATATTCGCCGAGCAGTATTGTGTCCAGAATCCCACGATATTTTCTGGGCCAAGTCCTGCTTTTATTCTCGCCTTCTCCATCATGATGCTAAACACTGATGCACACTCCACACACATTAAGGAGAAAATGACCGTGGAACAATTCATCCAGAACAACCGCGGCATCGATGATGGTAAGGATTTACCACATCAGTTTCTTAGGGATATTTACCAGCGCATTACAACAAATGGAATTATCCTTGAATGCCGTGAGGCGGTTCAGAGGGTTGGTTCTGCGATGAAGCCTTCTAACACGAAGGACTCAAACTTATTGCTATCATCCACATCATCATTGATACGTGGAAATAAACAAAGGCTCGCGCGTCACATGGAGAAAGAGTGCCTTGTTGAAATAACTTTGGATCAGATTACACAAGATGTGAGAGCAGAACCATACACATCTGTGAATTCCCCAGAGGTGGCGCGGGCGATGCTGGAGAGCACTTGGACTGCCCTTCTGGCAGCCTTTGCTATTCCAATGGAAGAGATCGATAACATGGAGTTCATTGATACTTGCCTGGATGGTTTTGAAAGCGCTATTAAGGTGTGCTGCAAGTTCTCATGTCGAACTGAGCGAAGGGCATTTATTTCTGCTATTCTGGCCTTTACGCATCTCACGAACTATCGTGAAATCGAATACAAGAGCCTCAAATCTATCGTTGTTCTTATTCGTATTGCCCTTGAGGAGGGTGACCACCTGGAGGACTCGTGGTATGAGATACTTCGTTGTATCTCTCTCCTTGCTAAGCTACATATATTGGCTGATTCGTCACCGACGATGCCGCCATCATCTCGGAATCAAGGCTTTTCGATGATGAAGACTGCTTCCTACGTTGGGGGCGACGTTGACAGTCGATCGAATACACAGTTGCTGAGAGAGCGAACAAAGTTTGAACGTCAGAATGCCGAGACTATAGCGAAGTACATTGATGAGGTAGAGGCTCACCGTCTCTTCTCCCGCAGTAATCACCTCAAGGATGCATCTGTAGTTGATCTCGTTGAGGCAATATGTGTAGTGAGTGCAGAAGAACTGGCGGAAAACCCACCGCGTTTGTTTTCCCTGCAGAAGCTTGTAGAAGTGACAGACACAAACATATGGCGACAGCGCTACATCTGGTCTAAGATGTGGACCAACGTCTCGCGTCATTTCGTTACCATTGGATTAAGCGCAAACCAACTTGTATCCATGTTTGTAGTGGACCATCTGCGGCAGTTGGCAACTAAGTTTTTATCCCGCAAGGAGCTTGGAAACTTCAACTTCCAGAAAGATGTCTTGCGGCCGTTTGAAATAATCGCCTCACAGGCGAAGTCGTTGGCATTGAAAGAGCTTATTATCGCCTCTTTGGGCCAGATGGTGGAAGCTCAAGCCGAGAGTCTTGGCAGCGGCTGGAGTGCTCTGTTGGCTGCGCTCGCACACTGTGTGCGTGACGTAAAGAGCCCCGAAGCCGTGTATTCTGCCGCAATGGTCTTGCAGCGCATCACCCTTTTTCACCTGCATTTCCTTACTTCTACAGACTTGGTAGATGTTATCAATGCGTGGACTGTTGTTGGCCGCTCTACTCCTGGCGGCGTCACAGCCCAATCAGCAGTGTGGTACATTCGCTATGTGGTTGCTGTTTCTCCTTTTGTGACTACTACAACTGCCATTACTTGTGCAACTGTACTGAACACTGACTCGAGTGACCTCCCTAAGGAGCCATGTGGGAGGTGTGCGTCCAGATTCGAAGCGTCTACAACTAATGGGGATAATCATGTGGAAACACAACGCGGCGACAGTGACAACAACAACAACAACAGCAACGAAAACAATCGCATACTTCTGATGGAGGAAATAAAACACCGGACGTCTTTTTTTATACATTCCACTCTCAATGAGAGGGACAACCATGATGGTGGTGGTTTGAAGGAGTTATCCACACCAAAGAGAACAACAATGTCAACCTTATGCACTGTAGCTACTGCTGCTTTGACATCGTTGGTAGTGGCTGATCCGATAAGCGGTGATGCTATTGACGTCATGTTCGCTATCATGTCGGACATGCACAGCGCTTTCACGCCAGAGGCGTGGTGGTGTGCTTTTGCTCGTGCGGTTGCTCCTATCCTTGACTATCTCTTACTGCGGTGCAAATCATCCAAAGGGTCAACTGAATTGTGTTTGCCGCTTTTGAAGCAGACTGTGACAGGCGTGGTGCACCTGGCAGGCTCTATCCTTGATGCTGCCCCTCTACGTGTGGAAGATGTACGCTTTTTGTTCCAAACTATAGTGGGTGACTTGTGCACTAATGAGAACGATGGAGTGATTGAGATTGGGTTCCAAGGTGGGCGGCAACTTTTGCAACACCTTGACGAACGCGCCGTTGATGACGAAGCTTTGTGGAGTTGTGTGGTGACGTACATGTGTGAAGTGGGTGAAGATCTGATGGGGATGTTGGAGTCTGTCTGTAGCTTACCACCAGTATTAAACCAGCGCGACGCGACGGCGCCCTGCCTGTTGGCTTTACTGCAGTACGTTAAGTGGCTCCGCGATGCGTCGCTACTACCGTTATTGACCGTTGCGTGTCGTGCAAAAGCTGTAGACGCGTTGGTGTGTATTCTCCATCGCACTATGTCGCTTCTTAGTACCTCTTTTTTTGGTCGACTCGACACAACGCAGAAAAGAGGAGCATACAAAGTGGCCTTGTTCATAACACTCGAGCGGTCAGTGTGTAACGCCATCCTCCAGGTGGCGGAGCGGTACACCGCCTCTATGGAAGAGCAGTACAACATGTTCTGGATGCTCGTGATGAAGCAGTTTACGACAATCTCTTTGGGTGCGTCGGAAGTTAACAAACAAGAAGCAGTGAGTCTAAGGGAGCTTGTCAGGCGTCTTCTGGATGCCATGCTTCAAGCCCCGTCGAACGTAATGGTGGAACGTGTCAGGGTCTGTATGCCGTTTCTTTGTAAAATGATCGCCGTGAACGATGCCGCATGCGCTGCTTCACTTGCAAGCCTTTTTTTAAAGTATCACACAGCCATTACTGATGCGTCTTGACGGACACACATTCACATAAAGGGTGTTGAGGAATCTCACTTCTGTTAACGATGCTTTTGGGTCTGTCCACTGTGTTGTGAATAATACCGTGGTTGGCGGTGACAGCACGAGCGTTGTGGAAATTGATGGCGACGGGGATGAGTGCGTTTGTGGAGAGAAAAAAATATCTCTATATATATATATATATA